TGCTTGTTAGTTCAGTCTGATCTGAGACCACAAACACTAAATGATTGCATTAATAGCTGTATTACTACCACAGAGTATCATCATAAGGCAGAGCTCTGTTTATGTGGGTGCCATGCCTTTGCCTCTGCTTAATTTATTAGTGCAAATGAAGAGCATAAATCACTCAAAACTCCAAATCAAAAAGAATAAGATAACCCCAACTTTTCTGCAAACTGTAATTAATCTCTAGCCTATTACCACAAAACTTAGTTTAGGGAAATTCCTAGTTCAAATCAGGAATGTTAAACATTTGCGTCAATAGAAACAGTATGTGCAGTGGCGTTAGAAGTAGCAATATTTCTGATTCAAACCATGCACTGAGTAGTTGTTGAGGCTAGAAAACTTCTTTTCTTTTACAATTAAGTGCTTTATGAGACAATGAAGTTACTGACTGGTGATCACTTCCAGAGCCAGAATGGTGGTCTGCTGCTTCATTCCAGAGTTTACTAGCAGTTCCACGTGATACGCATTAATGTAATATCTCATTAATTCCCTAAATATCACTAAATTGATCAGAGAATTAGCTGCTTCAGTTTCTTCAGTTCTATTAAAACATGTAATGAATATGGAATGTGTTAAAAGAGCGACATCTATGTTAAGAAACATCAAGATCTTAACCTTAGCTATTAACCTTTCTTTTGCTTAACCTTTCTATTACTGAGCTCAGCATGTTGAGGATCCAAATGTAGTCATAAGATTTACATCCAGATACTTGTTTTAAAGGAGATATCTACATACCTTTTGAATACATGATGTCTACTTATGCTATCTCATGAAAAAGAGGAAAGTTTATTCAAGTATGAGCTATCAAGTAAAGTTGTTTTTCTTACTACATGTATTTTGAAGGTTAGAGTTCAGTATTTGTAAGCTTATTGACATCTTAAGTTCAATGACTAAATATCAGAACAGACTTTGGTTATGGTCATAAAAATACAATTTCTTGTTTGTCTCAAACTGATTTTCATGCCACAGCAAGGCATCCCCAAAACTTCTGCTGTACACGAAGGGTAGCATTAACTTAAAGTAAGTGAGCTGTTTCATATTAATAGGCAATTTCGAGAAGGCAAATAAGCCCTTAAAAACAGTATTGATATTTAACATAAAGTCTGTAATTTGCCAGATCTAATTTTACATGAGAATTGTATATGCATCATGACCTATTTTATAATATGTAAAAAATGGAGTTGGAAAATTCTCCAAATTAGTCAGACTGCTATTAGTTGATTCTCTTGCCAGTTGGATTTAATGGACTTGTAGTATATTCAGCCTATCAGAAGAAATAAATGAAAGGAAAAATAATAAAATTAATTGTTGTCCCAGTTATCATTTGTCAGTCATGACAAATGGTACCTGGAATACTAGAGTTGTAACTATCTTGTTAAATGCAGTAACATTTGAAAATACTTTTAGGAACTGCTGTATTATGCTAGGTCTGCAGAGCATTTCAGCAGCTTTGGATCTACTTTAAACTTTAAATCTGTGGATTGAAGTAAATGTGTGTAAATATATTTGACAACGGCTTTGGAGAATTCCTAAGGATGAGCATTCTCTTTAAAACCTAATTCTGTGGAATGCATGGGAGCCAAAACATTATCTGGTATCTGTTATTTTTTATTATTATTATTTTCCCATCTTTATTTCCCTACGTGGTTTTAGTTCATCTTAAGCATCTGTTCCAGAACTTAAAAAAACAAAAGGTATTAACAGACTTATCATGAGAGAGCAATATTTTTTGCATGTCAATTACAAGGATGCAAATTAAAATTTTGGAATTTAGGACTATTAAGCATTTTTTAATGAATTTAAAGACTTATCAAAAAAGCAATATTTCTGTTGTACGATGAAACCTTAAGGAAAGGACTTTTACCTGTTCATTAACTTATTAATATAAAATATTCATCTGTTTCCTCATCTTTGCTCAAAGCAGATCAAAACAAATGAGAAACAATTTGGAAAATATAGTGATTTTTTGTCTCCTCTTAAGCCTAATAGTTTTTCTATAAACTTAGAGCCAGGATATCACTCAGGTACAGAGACATAGTTGCATGTGCTCAGGCAGTAGTAGTTAGAATTGCTGCCTTCAGTAGGAATGGTCAAGGTCAAAGGAGACATTCATGGCATTCTGTTAAACGTAGAGAATTGTCCTACGGCATTTGACTAAGTAATCCTCTAAGTCTTTGTACTTAAATGCTGTAGCATTTTCTGAATATTATGATCCAGTAAACTTAAATATTTGTGGTCATTTGGAGGTGCAGAACAACAGCTGGAAGTATCAGGCAGATAATCAAAGGAAGGCCATGAAGCAAAGGTGGATAACTATGACATGGAAGGCATAGTGTAACTCTATTTCAAAATTTTGCACCAATTAATATTCCTTTTAGAGTATCATCTGAACTGTTGCTTTTTGATAAGTTTTATCATTTATCAGACAAATGATAGTATCTGCAGATAACTCAGCTTCATATATAGCAGTTCAACAGGAACCACTTAAAAATGCTATTTGTGTGTGGAAGAAAAGTAAAACTGTTCTCCAACAGGACTGCAGTTGCAGAACAGCACTATCAGGACAGCAAATCACTGGATCTTTCAGTAAATTAAGTGTGATTAACCTCTAAATGAGATGTATACACATGTAAGGCTTTTCAGTTGCATACTTCAAGCAATAGCGAACAGGTAGAAAAAAAGAGACTTATGCAAAGTTTCAGAGGTGTGCTGTTAGAATTAGATATTTTTTATATCAGTATGATATTTTTCATATTCTGTTTTATAACAGAATAATAACACTTTTTCCCCACAGTACTTCTAGAAATGAGTGCATATCATATTTTTAATAATACTGCATTGTCAGAAATAAAAAGCTAGTTAAAAGCTACATAATGAATGCACATATAAAGACTGCCTTAATGGAAGTATTTTAAATAAACAGCATTGATCAAAATCTACGTAGTGAGGATCTGTGGATCCTGGAAGTAGTACTGACTGTACAAATAAAGCTAAAATTGCCCTTGATTGTCAAAGATGACAGGAGTGTGACATGTGAACGAGGAGGATGAACAGTGATGGAAAATGCACTTCTGTCAATCCGCTGTGGCATGAGGTAGCGAAAGAAGAGCGTTTGCCGGCAGCATGTCTGCTTGCTTGTGCTCTGTGCTCCCCTGTGTTGTGGTGGGACACTACTGTGGTGAGACCCACCAGAGCTCCACTTGGGTCCTTAGCGGCTGAGGAGCCACCAGGGGGAGAGCTCTGGACCTTGGCGATCAAGCACCAGGGCCCTGGGGGTTGTGCAGCCTCCGTGCAGGCCGGGGCGCTGCTGGAGGGGCCCAGGGCCCCACCGGGGATCTAGGCCCTGCTGGAGCTCCTTGTGTCCGACCTCTCCCTCCTGCACCCCAGCAGACTCCAAGAAACAGACCCAGTTAGGCGGCAAGTCACGGGCCCGCCCAGGATTAAGAGGCCTCCGCGCCGGCCTTGATCCCTCTTGCTCCCACTTTGGACAAGCTGCCAGGTGTAAGCTGAGCCTGTTAGAAATGACTGCCTGTTTGTGTTTACAAGAACAGCGCTCTCTTAACTCTTTACAGGATGAGGCAGAAAGAAAGGTAAGCTCAATCTGCAATGTTCACATAGGAGTGTCAGTGATCTCACAGTTGTGGGAATAAAATCTGTCATGTAAGCAGGAGAGAGAGAAACCGAGGAATTTACAAGTCCGGTCTGTAACAAGTAGAAGTTCTTAAGGGCTAACACCAGAAAGTGTCCAGGTCTGTGTATTTCGACTCTGCATGGAGCTGCTCTGTAGTTTTGCATGTTGTTAGTTGCAATGGTAATGTAATGAGAAGTTCTCTTGCTCTCTGTGTTTGGGGAGAAGGACGGTACCGCTAATTTCCTGCACTGAGCAGAATTATGGTCGGGAGAATGTGATGAAGGACGTATGTTCAGGTGTGGTTGTGTTAGAGTTTCTCTGCTGAAGAACTGAGTGATAGCAAATGAAACTATCAGTTTGGGAGAACTGTTTCCGATTATTCCGGTGAAGTGTATTTCTGGGTAATAGGAAGAGAAGGGAAATTAGAAGAGGATTTGTTGAGACAGTAAAGTAGGGCCATAACTGTGGTGGTTACCAGCGTTGGTTCTGCAAAGGAAATTCATTCATCACGCTATTCTATTAGCTCACATACATACATACATACATACATACATAAGTTTTTGGACTCAATAAGCTTTCTCCACAGAAGTGGCTATTAAGGAAGCTATGTAGGCAGTGGGGAAGAGGGGAGTCCTTGTCAAGGAGAAAAATCTGGTTAAATGACAAAATATAATATAAAAAATATATTCAACCTCCTCTGTGGCTAAAAGGTAGCATTGGGCTGCTACATTGCTCCATGCTTAGGCAGTTTTGATTTGATAAATGTGCTAATGAATCAGTAAGGAAGGTTAGGCAGTGAGATGGCAGCGTTTACAAATGGCACAATTACCTGGCTAGTCAAGTCCAAAACACACCGTGCAGGGAACTTCAGAGGGGATTGCCAGAACTACAACAACGGACAACACAATGTCAAATGGAATTCAATAGTCATACATGAAAGCTAGCAAGCACTGGAAGAAGTAATTTGAACTATTTATGCACTCTGATGTGTTCTAAATGAATTAAAAATACCAGGGAAAAAAAGATCGTCATTGCGGACAACTCGATAAAACCTATGATCTTTGTTCAGGTTTTGGCAGCCTTTCTTGTCTCCTTAAAAATCCTCCAAACAAAATAAACCCCTCACCACAAAACAAGAAGCAGCTACAACAAGATACTATCTGCATTATATTAATCTACATAAGGAACAGATGACAGCATATAAATCAACACTCTCTCTTTTCCTGGTTGCTCTGATGGAGAAAAAAAAAATGTACAAAATGAGATAACCAAACAGCCTGTTTTCAAATAAATATGTTGTTCTTTCCAAAACACAACAATGCATGAAGATACAGTGAAACTGAGGGGATGCAAATTTTAAGTATGTGAAAAGCTCTGTATTTTCTTCATTGAGTAGTTGTTCAAATGGAAGTCATTGCAAGGGGGATCCAAGTCTGTAGATGCTTTCACTCAGCGGGGCTATTTAGATGTGTACAACCGATGTGTAATAGCCACGTCTGTAGGACCAACTATTGCACAGTGCTGAGCAACACATACAGATCCATCTCCTGACCTGGAAATCCGGAGAGGGGAGTTGTCAGTGAAAGCTTCAGCTGAGTAGCACTTCCCTGCTGTTCCTCTCGGGGGCAAGATGGACCCTGTCTGCTCTGCTGTTCAGACAGCTAAGAGGTTCTTGAGGGTAGTCCCTTGTTCTGTGCTTGTGTTTTAATTATTACTTAGCTCACCTAAGTTATATGTAATTGTACTTAGCCAAACTGCTCTTCTACAGCATCTGCCAGGTGCTTTCTGTGTCTGTCTTCCTAGAGTTTAAAGGTCAGAGCAACAGAAAAACCTATATGGTATAAATGAGTAAACAACATTACTGTGCAGGAGCGTACCAGTCATCAGGACATCAGCAGGACTGATCTTTACATGTTAAATTTGAAGGTAGAATATATGAGAGCAGAATAAAAAAAGGCAAAATGAACACCCTTTTACAGCTTTATATAAGACAAATGAATTTAAACAGATTTCAAGGAGATGACTGTACTACACAGTTGCTCAAACAGTTGCACTTTTCAAACAAATTTGAAAAGAATGGAGTTATGAAATTCAGGAAACAGGTGTTCATTAAAGTCTTCATGATTCAGTCCCTTCTTGTAACTTTTCATGCATAGATTTTGGCCAGCAGGGGAGACAGTTCTGACATTTTGTTTTATTAAATTAAAATTTTGAGTTTGGTTTATGTGTAACATGCTCACCTGTATCACACTCGTATCTAAATATGTTGTTCAGCATAAAGCAAAGGTCCGTTTTGTCTTAATCGTATTAATTCTGCTGTCTCATCTTCTGCCAGATTTCTATATCACAATTACAGCAAAGAACTCAGAAACCCCTTAAACCAAATAAATAAATAAGTTGAAATGTTGTAATTGTTACTCATAGCTCCAAGGCAAGTCCATGCACCATTTATGTCTTTGTTTTCTCTTACTGGAGGTTTTGTCTTGCCCTAGGTCCTTTCACAAACTTAAAAACTGCCATTATATCTCCTCTAAATTGCCTATTTTCAAGATTAGAAGTGTTTCATCATTCTTTTGTCGTTAAGTATTCCTTTTAATCCCTCCATACTCACTCTCTTCTACATTTTACATTATTTTAATGTCCTCATAAAACCTCTATTCCCTGGACAGACAGGTTGTGAGTTCTCACTGTGGTTTTGCTATTGCTACTTCTTTTCAGCCCCTATAAGGCAGGCAAAACTTCATTTTCTCTTGAACTGTTGCCATGCTCTGAGGTTTCTCTTATCTAGTGATTCTTACCAGTGATTTGGTTCTTTGACTTCCTTGTTTTTGTATGAAGCTACAGTAAAACCTAGAGGTAAAAATGACCTATTGCACTTGCTGAGCCAGGGAAAGATTAGTCCATACTTGTGCTTGATGTAAGCTAGTTTTGCAGAAGTAAGCCATTATCTTAAAAGAATGTTTCATTGTGAAAAAGAATTCCTTGTTACACAAATAGAAATTCTTATTCTAATTTTCATCTCATTGCTCCTACATAGGACTCCGCATGGAAAAACTCTGCTCTTTTGCTCTGAAGATAATGCCCAAAAGATGTTGGAGGCTGTTGTAGTCCCCCACATACTGCTCAGCTAAGCAAGTACTTAGCATCTTTACCTCTCTTAACAACTCTTCTCCTGTCTGCGTTGGCAGCTGCCTAGTTGCTGCTCTTGTCGTTCTCTGAAATCTCTCAAGATTGTCAACGTTGTTTCTGGTAGACCAGAATGGAATGTCCTAGTGCAAGTTCTTTTGACTGGTGCAACTCATCTCAGGCAGGTTGGGTTATGTCACAGTAGCCATAGCAATCAAGAAAGTATTCTAATATTGCTCACTCATCTGCAGGTATCTCAGTGAACCAAATTTACAGAGAACAAGCGTGTAGTACAAGCTGCTTTTGTGTACGCTACTCACAATGCAAAGGTGCTTTGCAGCCTATGACCTATCGTTCAGCATTGTCTTTTCCATGTTTTTTTGTGGATCAAATCCATCTGTTGCTTATCATTCCTTCTAAAACGTAAAAGTAATTTATTTTTCTATCCAAAATAAAAGCATATAGAACATTTTTTATCCATCTTTCCTGATCCCCTTTTCTATTAGCATGACGGCCAGCCAGTTTTTAATGTAATTCTTCTTTTTTTTTTTTTTCCAGAAAAGAAGTTTCTCAGGATATTCTTGAACAAATATTTTTAAAAGTTCAAATAATCTTTATCTGTAGTTATGACACTGTTATACTATGTTTGTGAAGCCCCTCTTCTGAGGGTCCTGAATTTTGCATTCCATTCCCACCTAATTAGCCTACTTGATATTAATTCAGTGTTCTGGTTTCCCTGGCTAGGTTGGGAAATGCATGCATACTGGTATTGTTCCCTGAGCTGACTGTGATGTCTAACACTCTGCTTTCCCCACTGGGGTCTTTTCAGAGCTGCTAACCATGTGGTGATCATTTATACCATTTTTGGATAAAAGTCATGTCAATGCAGACTACTTATGTCCATGCTTAAATTCAAAACAGGTTTTGGATGACCGTGAGAGGCTCTTCAAGAAGCTGAATTTCATGTGTTGTCTGTGTATGCTCACTTAGAAAATTACTAGTCACTGTCACTTCAAAATATTACCAATTTTACTCAACTTGATTAATCTCCTGTAAAATAGTTGATGGTATTTTTAGTTCCTGTGACAATCTTTATTCCAAGTATTTCAAACCATTATAGCAGACCAGTTTAGAGTAACAGGAGAATCCTCTATCTGGTATTAAGGTATCTGGTATTAATCCTCTATCTGGTATTATATCCTCTATCTGGTATCCTCTATCTGTACGTATTGTTAACGTACAGTGGACCTCAGTAAAGTCAGTATTTATCCATATTTACCCTGTTCTTTGGCCTCTCAAGCAGCACTATTTCCTAGAGAGGATACAAGGGGGTAGCACAATGTACATTCAGTGCCAGTTTGGATAAATTCTGATTGCGGTCCTGAAATACAGAGGTGGGTGAGTAGGCTCACAGCAATGAAACAACTGGGCTTGCACGGACAGATTCTTTTCTTGAGAGCTCCTTAGCTGATATATGTTGAAGAGAAAGAGTGATCTATGAACAAGCTCCATTAAATATATTTTCCCTCTTTGAGAAAGAAGCTAAAATGTCCATATATATTGTGGATTTTACTCCTACACCTACTATGATCATGTCTGAAGTTCTTAACTCTTATGAATCAGTAGAAAAGTTCTGTCCTTAGATTGGACCACAAATCCATTCATTTTTGAAGAGTCTAATCCAACCTGGAGGAACTTGGAGTGTGAGGATTCCAGGATTTATTTTCATAAACACAAATAATCCTATTAAATTCCTAGTTGAATAAGTGTGTAGTCTGTGGTCTTTCCGTGTTTTTTTTTTCTTTTTTTTTTCCAAATTCATGTTGGTTTTAATTTCTTTAGAAAATAGAGAAATGCAAAATACTGTCTATTTTCTTTGCCAAAAATTAAGTATGTTTGACTGGTGGAAAAAAAATGGAAAGATGTAATGAGATTAAGAATGAACAAAATTTAATTTAGGGTTGTTTTACCTCACTGATAGTCTGTGAATTTTATTAAGCAGTGAATGCTGAATAAAGCTCAGAAAAACAGTTTTCTCTGGAAAAAAAAAGGGGGGTGGCACACGATGTGTTTAGTGGGATAACGCAGCTTACTGTGCGTTTAGGGAGGAACTGAAAGGGGTGCATGCCTGCTATTTAAAAATGAAAGCTGTTACTATGAGGTCACTAGCTAAAGTAGTGACAGATGTGCAGAATAATTTTAAATCTTTGAAATTTGTAAGAGTTAATCCAGAGGTATGCCTTAGAAGCCTGTCTTCGTCTGTTATATTGGACTTCTTATTGCTTTTGCTTGCTGATACTCCTCGCTGAATAACGCAAATACTTGCTGACTGATTTGCAGAGTGTTAAGAGTGAAGCAAGGCACAGGTTGGATGGCTGAGAGAATACTGGGTTTCAAAATTCTGATATCAAGGCTTAATAGATGCACTCATCATTCACATGGACAGGGATCTTGTGACACTCTCTTGCAGGTAGATTCTGCAAGGCAACCTCTGATCACTTCTGATCTGGATTGCACCGTTTTGTAAGACCTAGGGACTCAAAGAATTGGTTAAATTAGAGTTTGTTTGCAACTAGGGAAGGCTTATAATTATCTAATTAAGATTAACATAAAATTATTATTATTGCAGTTCATTTTTCAAATAACTATACTGCAAGTCTATATCCTGTATTTTCAAGTGTCTATACTCTGTATAGAAGTATGTTTCTTTATAATTAAGGGAAAAATGCAACAGTTGGTGACTTACAATTTTACATAGAATTTTATCTTATGATCCCCACTGTAATGTAATAGTTTATTTACAAATATGCCTTGTAAACCAAATAAACACCTTGGTGTATTTTATTAGTGGAATGTTTCTCTCTTAAAAATAATCATATATATATAATTTACATGTGGATAATGATCACTTCTAGCTACGTTTTATCAGACTTAGCTAGAGAAAGTATCATCAAAATGGCTTTTGAGCTTCCCAAATACAGTATAAAATACATATGTCCACATTAGGAGTTGTGTTTATTACTGGTCCCTATTCACATATCTACTTGGATCCCACGAAAGACAGAGGAAACAAAAACAGTTATTAGAAAAGCACCTTGCATTTGGCTGGCTGGCATCATTGCTGGATTTTATTGGGTTTGCTTCTCTGTCTCTCGGAGTACTTGCACTCCTCAGCAAACTTCAAGGGCTGACTGTATTGAGAAGCTCACATATAGATCACAGAATCACAGAATCACAGAATGGTTGAGGTTGGAAGGGACCTCTAGAGATCATCTAGTCCAGCCCCCCTGCTCCAGCAGGGACACCCAGAGCACGTGGCACAGGGTGGCATCCAGGCAGGTTTGGAAGATCTCCAGAGAAGGAGACTCCACAGCCTCTCTGGGCAGCCTGTTCCAGGGCTCTGTCACCCTCACAGGAAAGAAGTTCTTCCTCACATGGAGGTGGAACTTCCTATGTTTCGATTTATACCACTGGAGAGATTCATTGCACCAAAGTGCTGCTATCTAAAGCTAAGATTTTGCAATGCAAATGTCCTCCCAGTTCCTGTCCTACCTGCGCTCTGGCCCATTCAGTTGCTGAAAATGCACTAGTATTTCTCTCCTGTTGCATTTTTCCACCTGGCAACTTCCTTAGTAGCATGCAATCCTGTTCTCTTTCGTTACAGCCCTTCAGTTCTTCACCTCTGTTGTAGGCACCATCTGTGTTTATCTGCTTCATACTCCCGCTTTGGCACCCATTGGTAGGTGGTGTTTGAGATAGATAGGGTGCTGGTCAAGAAGGTCCTTGGGTCTGACCTCTTACAGCCGGTTTTGTGTTATGTTAAAGACTGTTAAAGACTGAAAGTTTACCTTCCATTTGCTCTTGGTTATTCTGTAGACAGCTCTCCTACTGGCATGGAAATATATTTTAAAACTGTAGGCCGCTATGGTAGCTTTCTTTCCTTCATGGACAAAAAAAATATATATTAAACTTACTCAGTTTTCTTCGGTCACTGTCATAAGGCTCAGTTTCCTTGGGTCACTGGACGCAAGACAGAGAAGGCAAGACAGAGGTTCGTATGGCAGGATTTTAGCTAGCAGATACAGTGAAGATTGTATTTGAGCCTTTCTGAATTTTTAGAGGAAACTGTGCCTTTTAGCTGTCATTGCAACCTTGTAATCAAAGATGAGTAAGGCAAGATGCTTCCTCCAAAAATCTCATCTCCTCAAGTCTGTACTCAAGGGAGTATAGTCAATGGTATGCTCCGCCTGTAGATAAAACTAGTGCCGCAATATTCTCTGTCAAGTTTGCTGTGTTAAAAAGGCAACTCCGTTTCAGAGGTTATTGCAGAGCTAGAGCAGCGTGGCCTTGAGGAGTCTGTTTCTGATGTGCAGCAGTTGTTTCGGCTGCGGGGCTGTGTGCCTGCCCGCCAGACTTTGGCCCGCGCGTGGGTTCTGAGGCTGTGGGCCACACACCTGCGTCGCATGGGTACCTCATGTGCTTGCCAGTACCGGGGCCCCCAGAGAGCTTCTTCAGGACCGAGGTGCTCCATCATTTTGCTGAGATGCTCTGCTTAGAAATTCAGGCAGTCCATGGTCCTCGTGGTGGATCGTGCCATTCCACCTTCTTTTTCATAAATAACAGATGCGATGTCTTTCTCAATGATATGTTTCATCTTCTGTTGTTGCTCTCAGATTGCATGTGTGAGAACACAGCCTCTCAAAAATGACTTACAAACAAGGATGCGGTGTCTGATGGCACTTTATTTGTGAAAGAAAAGGCCTATCTTTGCCTTATGGTGCGTGCATGTAGAACAAAATCCAAGGATAAGTGCCCTGACTACACAATAGACATGTTATTTACCCCAAAAGAAAAAGATTGCAAATGCTGCTTGCTATTTGGAGATAGCATACAATTTATTGATTCTCTCGATGTTCTTTAGGACTGTAATGGACACTGTGGAAAACATGGGCTAGTCTATTTTATCTTTGTAAGCGAAAGTAACTAATAGCTGGGAAATCAGTCCTCGACTGGATAAGAAGGAATCAAACACATGCAAGTAAGACTTTAGAAATAAATATATATATAGGGTACATTTCAACCTTTTTCTATCCAAGTTCAAAATAGTTATGGTGTCTGAAAATAAATTATCTAATTTTAGTTTGAAATCTGTTGTCCCAGCTGTCCTTAGCTCAGCAGTAATTTGTATTTCAATTTTGCTGGAGTCTCTGAGCACCTTCTTTTGTGTTGTATAATTACTTTTAATACCTGATTTCACAGTTATTTATAGCCCTCATGTATTGCTTGATTGTTGTTAATATGCTGGTGCATAGAGCTTTACTATTTTGGCCACCTTGAACAGCCTTCTACATGATTCTGCCTGTCTTGCGTGTGTGTTTTTCCCCCCCTCTGGCTATATCTCATAATTTCTCTTTGTCTGTTAAAGTCTCATGCCTTTACTTTAGACAGTATTTTTAATTCTGTTTAGCAGGATTCAGCAAGAGTGCCACAGTGTATATATAGTAAGGCTAGTGCATAGGCTGAGGAATGGGACCCTTAGTGTCTTAAAAAGGTAAATTTAAAGAGGCCATGGTTTACAGCTCCTCTTTTCCACCAGCTCCACAGACACGTATGTTCTGCCCAAGTTCGGGCTGCTGCTGAAAGGAGAGCTCCCTCCCCTTGCCAATGCACCCATCTCTCCTGAACTCATTTTGGTTTCTGTGGCTGTTTAATGAGCCAGACCAAGGACTGATCCAGCTGCTAGCTACTTTTTTGTTTCTTTGTTTGTTTGTTCGTTTGTTTCTTTCTTTCTTTCTTTATTCTGGTTTCCTTCTTTGGGTCAGTTTGTTTTACGATGCAGCCGTAAGATGCGAGCGCCAGCCTGAACAACGTGGTGGAACCAAGGGTTACAGTCATGAGGGAGAGCAGGAAGGACCGATTCTTTTTGATGGATATCTGGATTTATCCTACAAATTAAACATCCTGGGTTCCAACCAAACTCACCGAGAACTGGCAAATAGGAACTGGTGTTTTGAGTAAATGCAAGACTCTGCCAAAAAGGTGATCGGCAACATCACTCATCTTTAAAAGGCAGCAGCTGCTGGCTCCGGGTTCCCTGCCCTCTAAGAAGCTGTAATATGGGGAGCCTGGCAGCCCACCCTACAAAGTTGTTCAGCCTTGCTGCATTCAGTGATGCAGGCTGCATAAAAGATTGTGCAATATAAACTGGCACAGCTGAAATGTTTTATAGAAGATGAGCATAATTACCCAAAAGTGTAGGTAGACACGCCCGTAATATTTGGCAAACCAAAATGCAGATAATGAGAAGAGCCGACTTAGCATATTCTGAAATTTGCATGTTGGATCTGAGAATCTCTGATTCAGTCTTTCTAGCTTGGTGAGCTAGATTTCCAGTTGGGAGAGTCATGCAGCAGGGCTTAGGCTTTCAACCAAATGTACAATTAAACACCAAAGTCTTGGCCTCAGGGCCTGCCATGGGAGTTACATTCCTGGCTAAATCAGAATACCATCTGTAAGGTAAACTGTGATGTAGAAGAGTTACACCAGGCTTCCCAAGCAGCTGAAGGGACCCAACTGAAATGGATGGTACCCCTGTCCAGGCTGCTTCACTTTCCATGGACTTTCCCAGGCATCTTCTGAATGGTAAATTTTAGGCTGAGGCTCACGGTTGCCCAGATCTAACTTACCTGAAATCCTAAGCGTGCAGGCAGATAACGCTGGGTAAAGGGTCATCTGTGATGTCTGAATTAGGTAGTGAGTTCTGATCTATTTGTGAGAAATGGAGGGTAAGTTTTGACAGCACAGACTTGAGCTACAAAGGACTAATGGTGACGAAACAAAAGAACTGTGGTGAATGGACAGTAAATGAATTTTATACTGTTGAATTGTGCTGATGATTTTGGCAAGGTAATTGCTCCTAAATAATGGGAAGCATTGTGCAACTTTAATCATTGGGCAGTTTCAGCTTATTTTCTGTTGAATCTCACCCCCTTTTGTGATATTTCAATTAATTATCAGGCAAAAACTGAGCTATGGTTAAGGCTAAATACCCGTCAGTAACAGGAGGGAGGAAGCTTTCTAGGAGCCTTGTAATTAAGTGCAAGCTAAATACTTTCAATTCTAGAAGATCAGTGTAAATCTGTACGTGTTAATGTATAGAAATGCACATCTAAAATACTCTGAAGTTTGCCTTGGAGTCGTGTAGTAATTACCTGATTATGATTCGTGCGTGCTCATTTTTGTAGACGATTTTTTACAGGCATGAGATTTTTTTTCTTCTTTTTTATATTTACTTTTCAAAGCCTCGTATTTTCACAACAGAACAACAATAACATGTTGAACAACACATGCTCATGATTTTGAGTGCAGGGGAGAGCACAGGCAAGAGGAGACGACAAGGAGCAAGAGCTGAAGGTGAGGTAGCTACTCGTTTTGTATGTGAGACCAATGGGGAACAATAACATGAAGTGAGAGCAAAGATGTGGCCAAAGTGGCAACCAAAAAAATACTTTTATCAGCATTATTAAAAAAAAATAACAGTAGGTATTTAAAAAAAATAGAAAAGAAGCAATTACAGTAGTGAGCCCCAACAGTAAAAGACCTTGATCTTTACCTATGCAATTAGGGACATGTTCTGGACATGTACCACTTACGTTTTTGAGAGCAAACCTGCATCTAAGGACAATTTGGGGGTTGTTTTGTAGTTGAGATCACATGCTTACAAATTTGCAAATAAGATTTAATGTAGGTACTTTTAAAGTTGTCAGGGTTTTGTTTAGTGAGGCTTATGCTATGCATGAAACCCCTCAGTTGTAAACTCATTTGAGCGTCTGTTCTTTGTCTGAAAAGTAATCAGAGGTACACATTATATGAGCCTTCAATATTAATTTTTATTTACCTCTGAAAGATTCAGCTGATTTGCTGTGTGATTGCTTTTCCAAAGGAAACGATACATCATAATCAATTTGTTGGGTGCAGTTTAAAATGTCAGGGACATTTTGTTGCTTAACTAGCAGTACTCATGCCGCTGGGAGTGATGCTGTGAAGTAAGGCTATTTTAAGGATTCGCTTCTAAGAGATTCAGGCTCAGCATATCTTAGTATGGTATGTACTCTCTTATGGTTTGCTTTGTCTTAATTTAAAGGCAATTTTTAGGCTGTAGATAAGATGGATGAGTTGAGGTGTAGTTTTGGTATTTCATAACCTTGCTGTCTTTCTGGTGATTCTTTTTGATGCAATAAATATTCTGTTAACTATGATCACTTTTTAGTAGTGGCAGCGTTTGAAAGTTCTTGGGAAGTAGTAACTATTTCATGACTATAAATTAGATATTTGTGTGTAGGATTCAAAGAAAATGTGCTAATAATGAAACCTGTAAAGAAGCTGATAGATTCGAAGCACTAATTTGAAAGAAAGAACTTTTTTAATGGAACTCCATGTAGATTTTGTAGATACTTAGGCCTCTCTTGACTGTTGGTTGAGTTTATTTAAAGAGCTTTTCTAGTCACCTTTGAACCCAAATGATTTCTCCAGATGTACAGAAATGAACAATGTAAAAATCTTGCTGTTTCAGCAGAACAGGATCCAGCTGGCAGGGAACTGGATCTGCAAGTCATTGGTTACAGCTGTGTTTCGATTTATGTGATGGTTGAAAAAATAAATTACTGGATTAAATGGCTAGAAAGAGGACTCTTTGTTTAGCCCTTGTGTGGGGACTGAAAGTGTTTATGGTGCTGTTTTCTGCAGAGCCTTTGCAAAGTAAGCTGGACAAATAGACTTATTCAAAACTTCTCTGAAATGTTGCACATTCAGCTTTATTTCTTTACAGAAGAAACTGTATGTTTTTGTGTAACACTGTCAGCCAGCAACCGTTTTTAAGGTCTCTTGGCCTTTGAGAGTGACAGTAGCATTTTAGCAATGTCTTTTAGGCATTGCAGTTTATCACGGGAAGGCAGTTTCCTTTAGTTAAAGGCTTTAAAATGTGTTTCTTGGCATGCGCACAGCAAGTACATGTAGGAACTCTGTCAAACTCATAACTTCTTAATAGGTTTAATATTTCAGCTTTGTATACCACTTACCTTTTGCTCTACATAATAATGTTGATGTAATTATAAATCTGGTGCACCATAATTTACAGAGTAAGCACAATGAAATCAGAAACTAGGGCCAACTGTTTGGATTATCGTATATCTTATTTTAATGTTCTAATGATGTAGGTGAATAATTTCTTCAAGACAGTGATTATGTATTATTACATGATAGCCTGATTCTGCAGAGATTTGCCTGCTTAATTTTATCCACATTTAACAGTTCCAGTGACTTTGCTGAGGCTATTCTGTGCATAAAGCTAATCATAACTTTGTGAGCTATTTTGATAAGAACCATGCTAGGTTTTCTTTTTTTTTTTATGTTCTTTGTAAGGGCACGGTCCTCTGAGATCCTCTGAGCTGCCATTTTTACTGAAGGTAGCTCGAGCTGAAGATGTGAATTCTTGCAGTGAAGTCCCTGCTCCACTGAAGTCCCTGGGCGTTTTGCCACTGGCTTCTCCAGGACTGGATTTTAATGCTCTTATAACAAATATCTCAAGACCCACAAGAGGTTGCTCTGCAACAGTGCAATTCCTTGTGAAGTGAGAGGCTACCAAGTGTGCCTAAAAGATGCACAGTCAGACCAATAGTAGGATTCAGGGCTTCTTGCAGATGCTATGAGAAGATAAATAAGAGCATATAACTTTCAGTCACGATGGACAGTGAGCGTACTGTGCATTTTTTAAAGCTTTAGCTGGCTTTCAGCGTAATAGTTTACAAAGCCAGGAGCTTTTCAGCACTTATATCTGTTTATTCAGCAATATTTCCCAGCAATTATTTTAGGCTGACCGTTTAGTTTCATTTTACAGTCATAAAGCAGTCAGTAGCTGTAGCCTGGTATCAGTTACCTTCTATTTATTAAAACATTCTGAAACGGAGTATAAGGATAGAGAATTATGGTTGTCATTATATCGTAATTGTTGTCCTATCAAGATCTAATTACTTTTCTAAATACGTTTTGCACAAATCATTTTCAAAGGACTGCCTTTATAAAATCCTACAAAATGCTGACCTAGGAGAGCTGAACACCAGAACAAGAGTTTGTGTTCCAAGTCAAAAATGAAATCAAACAAGTTGGCCAAGCTCCATCGTAAACCACCCTCAGAAATACCGGAGAGATGCTTAAAATATTTCAAAAGGGATATTTCCCCTCCCCCCTTTTTTATTGTCCCCGAGCAGCGTTATTACATTAAGAAGCACGCGACAGAAAGTCGTGGGGATGCAGAATAAATAACCATAATGTATCAAAAGCAGACAAAGGTGTGATTGATCTGTCTGGAATTGGCAGACTCTTTCGCTGTGTCAGGCTGTTTCTTTGATCAATGAAGGTATAGCCTCTGACCCTTAAAAAAATCAATGAGATTGATTGAAAGGAGAGAGAGAACTATGAGAACGCAGGATAGCTTTAACCTTCACTGTCTAGAAAATGTAAAATATTCTGGTTTTGCAGGCATTGAGCCTGCTACTTTGTATTTTGTTGTTAAAAAGGTTTTACTTTCCCCCAACCTGTTTTTGAAACCTTTTGAAACAAAGCTTTAGAAATGATGTCTAGATGATGCCTGAATGTTTGCCTCAAATGCTCATCTTCAATTCATTAACAGTGCTAGCAAAAAGGGAATTCCTTTTGTTCCGTAACAGAATTGTGATGTTACGTTGATGTGCACAGTCACAGAATTCCTGTAATTTCTTTTTATTAATTATGGACCTGATTCTTACCCAGCACATGCGTATCCATGAATCGATGCTGAGTAAAATAGTTATTTTCAGAAGAGCTACATGAGTAAAGTTGCCTTGGATTGTCCTTGGATATTTACAGGATCACTACAATATTACAGATCACTGATGACTGCAACAACAGGATGAAACTTCAGCATGGGAAGGTGGCTTCAAGGAACATATTTGGACTGTCTTCTATGAAAAGTTGAGTTTTTATCAATTCGTACATGTGGATAATTATTAAGGAGATGGTAAAACATGCCAAATTAGAAAATTCATGAGAGTTTAAACATTCATATTGCTTAAGACTGTCTCTCAGAAAGGGCAGACTAAAAAAGTGAACTTGGCTGTGTCAGTCAAAAACGTTTTTATGGACAGTTGGTATTTCTTCTTACCAGGAGCTTTTTTCATGTTCTGCTGATGTTGTAACACAAAGTAACTAGTGAATTAAGACTAACAAGTGTTTGTATGTAGAGAAATCAGTTCATTCACTGTTTCATGCTTTTGAGGCTCAAGTAAACGTAGGTCAGAAAGAATAAATATAACAGCAATAGTTTTCACAAATCATTGTTTTTTTAATTGAAAATGTCAGTGAAATCAAAATGTATTGAATAATATTCATATATTTTCAAAGTAATTCAGACTGCAATAGTTTTGCTGTCATATGCCTGTATTTTAATTAACAGCAAGTAAAATGACAAGTCAGCAGAGAGGCAGTATAATAGCATTCACCAAGTAAAAGGAAACTTGCATAAGGAGGGAATGATATTGCTCTTTCTGTGATGGTTTTTTTCCTTCTGTTTGTCTGAATTCCCTTCTTCAAGAGTTGTGTGCCAAGTATTTTTAAATGCTTCATAACTGTCATTTAGCTGAGATACAGAAGGAACTATTGTTTAAAATAAGGTAAAGACTGGGTAGAGCATTTGAAAATGGCAAATTAACAGCATAGATTTTTGCAATGGGTTTGAGATTAGATAGAGCCAAGATCTTTCTATGTTGCTCTTCCCTTGCTTTTCATCAGAACGGAGAGAAGATGTTCTGGGCAGTCCCGC